TTATCACTTTCCTGTTCAAGGATATCAGTTGAAACAAGGGCTCCTCCTGTCCTGCTCCTGCTCCTGCCCTTGGTGATGCATGGTGGCTGGGATCATGCTGCATGGACACTGGCCCTCAGGGGCTGCCTGTGGGCCATCCAGCAGGTGGCCTGGTGGATACTACCAAAGCAAACCTAGTGCAGCCTCCCATGCAGGCTTCCATATGGGGAAGAGAAGCAGGCCCTCTATAATCTGAAAGATTCTGGCAGGAGCCTGAGTTCATGCTTGCCTCCTGAATCCACTGAAAAGATGTCAAAGACAGAGAAAGGAAAGCAATCCATAATTTTGCTGAGAACAGCAGGGGCGGCCCTCTGTGCCCAGAGATTCTGGTGAATTTCTGAAAGACAAGAAGTAGACAGGAACATATGGGAGGATAAACTGGGGAGGAACAAGCTACAGCTTGGAACATATTCAGCAAAGTGCTGCAAAGGATGTAGGAGCAGAGTCCCCTTAAATACTGCTTGAAAAATATTTATGCCATGTGTAGGGTCACTTTTCTGATGATGACGATAAATATAAGAAATAATGTATTTCTCATTTTGCTCTGCGGGGAGCCACCTTGGTGACATTCAGACAGTCTTTCTGAAGGTATGGTGGCCAAGCCCCGGGCTGCTGTTGTCTGGTCCCATTGGCAGGTGTCTCCCACCTGGGGATCTACAGGTTTGCTGGAGGTGCACAGATAACCCTGGAGAGGCCAGCAAGCTACTGAGGTCCTATGCAAATGCCACTGCTTCTGTGAGCATTTTTTTGGGTGCATCACTTTGTTCAGATTTGCAAAAATCTGACCCATGTCTGTCATTCCCTATCAGAGTTTTAGGATGATTTTTCTCATTTCCCAAGCTGGGTAGCTGATGGCTGAGGAGTGGTTTCTCTCAGCACTTTGGATCATGCTTTCTGTCCCTACGACCAAAATTTGCCTCATGGAATGTTTCTGTGCACGCTGTTCCATAGAGCCTCACAGTAGCCCAAGGAAAAGGACAGAGGACATATCATAATGCTTACTTGAGGAATGAGCAGTCTCAGGCAGTGCAGTTCAGAGTTTACCCAAAGTCATGCGGCAAGGCCGTAGTGGGGCCATTGTGGGGCTTAGGGCTCAAGGCTCCCGGGCCATGCTCTTTGCCGCTTCCTGTGTTCTCATAGCTGAAAGGGACGCATCATTCTCTTAACAAGCACAGCAACCCAAAGTAGCAGTGTGTGAAGATGCCTCAAAAAATGTCCAGTAACTAGGGTGTGACCTCAGAATAAATTCTCTCCAGATTCCAAATCTTTCCCAAGTCCCTGTCCCCAGCTGTTATTACAAAGGGGGTGGCAGAGGCTAAGGAAATCCCACTTAGTTCCTTTCCCATTGCCTTTGGCATCCCGAGCATTTTCTGTCTGCAGTGTCCAGTAAGAGGTGAACTTCTCCTCCCTCCCCGAGAGCCAGTGTGTCCCACAGAGCCCCTTTCCTGCTTTAATTGATATCGCTGGGTAATCCTTAATGACCTCCCATAGCCACCCAGCATGTAATGAGTGGTTAGCCAGGGACCCTGGGGTCCACCAGCAGGCCTTACCTATCAAAGCTGTGCCCAGGGAGAGCCAAAGCTGCTCTCTTTCTCTCTGCCCACCCCTTCTTGTCTTGGAGCTGCCTCCTGTGAGAGAGATTTGCCCTACAGCAGGACGCTGACTCATGGAGGCTGTCAAAGCACATCTGTTGGGTGTCCCTGGCCAGAAACCATAGCAATCAGCTGAATCGGGCTTAATTGTCTATTCCTTGTCTCACTCTACGGGCACATCTAAAGATTTGGCTTTGGGAGGTTCCCAGCTAATTGGCTAACAGCTGGTTTTTGGACAGACAGCTGTCTTTTGTGGTTATCTCATTCCTGGTTTAGGTGGACATTTTCAAAGTCCTTTTGAGTTTTAAATGACTCACCGGCATTTGGTGGGAGTCAAGGGGAAATTATCTATAGTGCTGTTTTTGCTGCAAGTTCCCATTTAAGGCAGCTTGGTGCTGGAGGAAGGGCATCAGCTCTGGATCAGACAGACGCTGGCTTGTTTAAGCGCTAGGAATCCTGGCTGTCCCACAGTAAGCCGGCTGGGTATAAATATCATCATGGAGCTTAGATCGTGGGGCATAGCTGTAGAGCATGGGCCGTTATTATAAGCCTAGGTCAGAAATTTCCCAAAGCAAAAATTACCCCTCCCCTTTACCCTGAACTCCTAGTCAAGCTTGTGCTCTTTGGAGACAGGTTAAAAAGTGCAGAGCTGTTGGGGCAAAAGGCCTGAACTCCAGGTTCAGCTCCGCCATTCACTGGCCACAAGACTTGGGCCAAACTACTTTCATCTTTTTTTCCTAATTTAAAAAATTTGTTATTAGTACATGCTGGCAGTAGATATGATTTCCTCACAAGAGATCTTTTGTCGTATTTCCCTCAGGTGGATTAACCAAGGACCCTGTATGGGTTAGAGTGCTCCCCAAATTGAGGTCGCCTCAGAACCTCAGAATGTGGCCTTAGTCCGAGAGGGGCCATGCAGATGTAAACAAGTTCGGATGGGTTAGGGTGAGCCTTAATCCAATATGCCTGGTGTCTTTCTAAGAGGAGGAGAGGACACGGGTGACTCAGAGACAGAAAAGTACCCAGAGAGAGGCCTTGTGACAACAAAGGCAGAGACTGGAGTGACAGGTCTTGGCCAGGAACGCCGAAGGTTGTCAGCAATCACCGGGAGCTGGAAGAGGCCGAGAGAATCCTTTCCTAGAGGCCCCAGAGAGATCAAGACCCTCCTGCCCCTTTGCCTGTAGACTTCTGGCCTCCAGAACAGGGAGGGAATGAATTCTCATACCCAGAGTTTGGAACTTTGTTTCATTATCTCCAGGAAAGTAACACAGGCTCTAAGAGCCTTTTGTCTCCAGGACTAATTTATTGTGGCATAGAAAGCTCTCTTTCCTCACTTGACATTATCAGCTCGCTCTCACTGCCTTGATCTCTGAAGGTACCTTAGACCTGGCCTGTCCCCAACAAAGCGTAGAAGGAAAGGAGGCAACCCTGGAGATGAGTGGGGTAGGATGGAAGCACAGGTCACAGTGCCAGAAGCAGCACTGTGGAGCTTGAAAAGGTGGGCTGGACTGCAGGGCCCGCATGGCCAGTCCCTCTTCCCTCAGGGGATCCCTCTCAGGGGCCAAAGATCCTTGGGAACTTCTGCAAGTGGATCGGTTAAGTGGGATAGAGATCCAGGGGCCTCACAGTGTGGAGAGGGCTCAAGTTTTGTCAGTAAATCAGTTGTGAGGATCTGAGGGTGCTTTGGCCCTGATTTGCTGTGAGCTTGCAGGGAAACGGAAGAGGCAAATTTGTATATGAGAGGCAGGAAAGGAAGTAACACTGTGTCCCTAAAATATACACTGGACATTGTACTGGACATTTCAAAACATATCATTTTCCCATTAACTCTTAAAAGTAGCGGTATGGTAGTTGTTAGTAACGTTAGTTTGAAGATGAGACTCAGCTGTGAATTACTTTAAGGTCTAATAGCTTGTCAGAGACTCACCAGGAGCAAAATTAAGGTCAATCCAACTATAAAGACCAGGCTCCTGGCATTCAGTGTCCCGCTTCCCTTTGGGGGCCCACTGTCCTTTCTCCTCTTTCCTCAGACTCTTATCCACACTTTCGAGCGCTCGGCTAGGGATTGTCACTTGCAGAGAAAAGGCCGGGAATAAAACTTGCCCACCTTTTAGTTTTCGGAATGAAGAAATTCTTCCCACCTCAGCTTCTCTAAGGAGAGCTGTCTTTTCAGTCCTTCAAATCTGTCTCAGTCTCTGGAGAGGCTGATTCTCCAAAGCCATACAGAGAGGAAGTGCCGAGGACATGGCCTGCCTGGATGAGCCAGGCTCCAACACTTCCAGAGACCACACCAGTGCGGGGATAGCTCTGATCAAAGAAAAGCCAGGAGCGCAGGGCTTTCTTCTGCCTCCCTCAGATTTTTAGGACCCAGATGAAGTTTTTTCAACTCCTTCTCTTTGATGAGAAAATGAAAAGAGACACACACAAAAGCTAACTTTGCCTACCTGGCCTACACCAAGACACAGAAAGCAGTTTCTGGGCATGGAGTGTACCCGTGTCCTAATCTCACTCACTCATTTAATTATAAATTCATGATCAAAATGTCATTTGTTGGCAAGAATCTATTTCATTGGTGGAGCACTTGCTTAACATGTATAAGCCCTCTCTCATCCCTTAAGGTCCTGGGTTTGAGCCCTAGCGCTACAACAAAAATTAATTAAATTAAAGATCACTGATAGGGCCGGGGATTTAGCTCAGTGGTTCTGCTGCCTGCCTCTGCAAGGGCAAGGTCCCAGGTTCGATCCCCAGTACCAAAAAAAAAAAAAAAAATCACTGATGTCCAGAAACATTCATCAGAGGCAAGCCAGGCATAGAATGTTCATTATTTTGGAAGGGGGATTTAAAATTATTTTGTAACATTTTGAGATATTGATTATTCACAGTAAATGATACCTATGTACATAAGAGCACCATTTAATGAGTTCTGACAGATGAACTGTATATGCCTGTAAAACTGTCACCACAATCGAGAGGCCAATCATTTCCATCCTCAGCTCCCAGAGATACCCTGATGCCCATTTATAATTCTTAGCTTTACTTCCAGGCAATCGCCAATCTGCTTGCTTTCATTATAGATTAGTTTTCATTCCTTAGGGTTTTTTAAAAAAATAAATTCATTATGCAGCATTCTTTTTTAATTCTTTTGTACTCTTTTTTACCCAGCAAAATGATTTAGTGTTTCATGCATTGTGTTGTCTGTATCGATTGTGTGTTCCTTTTTTTATTGCTGAATAGTCTCCAATAGTATGGACATACCACAGTGTGTTTATACATTTGTCTCAATAGGCTCTGGATTGTTTCTGGTTCCGCTGTTGTTTTCAGCATACACCACCGGACACACGTAACACGGGTCTTCCCTGTGGTACCTAGGTGTGGCAGAGCCTCTGACCAGGCACTCTGATTGACCTCCGGCTAACACCACCAGGACACCATTTCCCAGGTCCCAGAGAGCCGGTGGTGCAAAGTCCCCTGGCTCTACCTAGAAAACTGGAGTCAGTGCTGGTATGAGCACATGATGAAGCCCACGTGAGAGAACCAGGACGAAACGACTCTATCACAACTTCAGAGGGACTGAAACGAGAGGATCGTTTCTTCCTAAATCCGGAAACTGGAAAGCCAGCCAGAAAGGTAATTATTTCCCAAAGTTTGTTTTTAAAAAGTACTCTTTCCTCAGGATGATAATAGATGTTTTGCAGACAAAAACAAAAGCAAAAGCCCTAGATTTTTTGATTACATAAATTTTAGGAGCGCTGTGTTAAACGAAGTTAAATAGTTTCTTTTTTGTAGGACTTCTTTGCACCTTTAACACGTTAATGTTTGCTGTAAATTTTAAGCAAAAGTGACATTAATCTTTCCAATGCATTCAATTAGCGAATCCTCTTTTCCTTAAAAATTTGTTTTCTACAGCCCAATTTGAAAAATACTCTTTTAGTGATTTAAACATCCTCCAAACAATTTTAATGTAAAGAAAAAGGCAAATACACAAGAAGACATAGAAATTAAGCTTGCATTCAGGGATCATGGTCCTTGGAATTCCTTGAATCTTAAGTAGATGGCTGTCAGTGCCTACATGCAGTACAAATGTGTCATCTTCCTTTTCTAAGTCGATGGTTCCTATAAGAGCCCAATATTTGCAGCATTTTTTCTCCTCATAAATGGCTTTTTGGGGGATTCCTGTCCATATGGTCTCAGAATTGCCACCGGGGTTGTTCTTCACTGTTGCAGGTGGGTGGCAGTGGCACTGTGGGCCACCCCTCCCTGGATGCAGGGGCCACCAGGTGCATTGGTGATGTGACGTCCAACAGGTGTGTGCTCAGAGCTGAGAAAGCGCCAGTGTTCATGGGGTTCCATAACGCACCATCTTTTTGCTTCCTGAGCTCTCTACCATAATCCAAACTACATAAATGAGCAATTCCTTTGCATAATGAACGGATGAGGCTGTTTTATGCACTTTTATGTGGTTCCAAGTCTGTGGTTTTACTAAATTTCCACCTCAAAGATATGTAATTAGAGCCTCAGCAATCTGCCATCCTGGCCCTCCCCACCCTCCTCTGGAATCCACAACAATCTTGCAGGCTGGTTTCCAATGGGACAAACACAGCGTAGGGTGTGTGTGTCTGTGTGTGCAACCACGTGCATATGTCTGTCTATTGGTCTTGTGTGGGTAGAGGGACATGGGGATCTGGTCTTCTAAAAAGTGGGATGGGTGGGGCTTGAGTACAAGTCTCTCCCTTTCGCTGACTTCTGGCTTCCCAGTCCACCAGGAAGTCATTTAGTGCTCTGCCTCTTAGGCCTGGCCTTCAGGAATCTCTCTTGTCACTGTCCTCGCTTGTACCTCATCTTCACTCACTGTCTTTGCACTGTGGGGGTTTGGGCAGCTTCTTCCTCAGGCCCAAACACTTCTTCCTTGGAAGCCCAGCTCCAACTCCTATGTTCCAGGGAGTCTTCTGTTTCCCCTCCTGTTCTTAAGCCTCTTTCTCTTCTCCTCATTGTGCCACAAAGCTCATGTTTTGTGAATATTTATGTCAACCAAAGGTTAAACCTTCTTGGACTGGGGACAAGGTCTTCCATTTCCCCACAGAAATGCCCAATCATCCGAAAGCTTTTGGTTTGTGAGGGAAGCCCGGAAGTAGGCTTCAGAAAGGGGGCTCCCGATTCGGTACTCCCTTATATATCTTTGCGAGCTGGAATTATACAGCAGCTCAGTGTTCTAGAGGAAAGCGACTCGGGATGAAGCGGAGCTGGCCCAGGTCCTCTCCATCATGAAGGTCAAGCAACAGGACGAAGCAGCATTGCTCCTGGCCGGCTCCTTTTGTAGTAGCCCAGTGACCCAGGTGCTCACTGGGTCTCCTGAGCAGAGGGCCTCCTCTACGTGCCCTTGGCTCCTGACGAAGATCCTGGCAGGAAATAGAAGATGGTGCCGGTGGTGGTATGGCTGAGTGGGAAAAGGTCAGGAGTTTTGGAGTCAGATGAATTTGGGTTTAGTTCTTGGCTTTGAACTTCCTAATAGTGTGACACTGGGCATTTACCTCTCATTCTGGGCCTTGATTTCTTCCAATTTAAACTAATGTCTCCAGTGTAAGGCAGCTGGAAAAAGAGACCCTCCGTGTGGGCTGACTGTCACCATTATCAAAGGGTGGTAGGAAGAGAGGGAGGGCAGAAAGAAAAGGGATAATTTGTCCCTTCCTTATTCCCATCAGAGGCACATCAAGACTAGTCATCCTCCCTACAGCTACTTCTGAGGCCTCCTCAGAATCCTCTTATAAAACATCATCTCCTGCAAATTCCGGCCAGAGCTTACTAGGAGATCACAGGACACACACCAGGCTTGGGAGACACATCAGCACCAGCTGTCCCCGGTCAGCCTTCAAAATGTGGCTCTTGTGCCAACATCCTGCCTCTGTCTCCCCAGCTTCACAGTGTGACCTGGTGGTCTCATCCCCCACTCTGAGTCCTGCTTCCTGCCCTCGGAGGGAATCACCGTCCTTATCATTCTGCATGCTGTAAAACAATCTTCAAAGGAACCTCCCAATGAAAAGGGTTAAAACATTCTCATAAATGTCTCTGATTATTTCCATTCAAAGACAGCCCAGGAAAATGTTTGGTCCCAAACAACCCCAAGGACTCAGGGAATGCTTTAGGTGACAGAGGGCTTCAAGGGTATCTCACTAAAGCTGCCACTCACAGATAGGGAAACTGAGGCTCAGAGGGACATCTGATCGTGCTCAAGGACAAAGCTAGTGAGTGGCAAACCCAGGACTCCATCTGCCATTGCCTGGATTCCAGCTCCCTTCCCCAGAGGGAAGACCTTTCCCACACTTTGAATCTTTCGTACATCCCAGAAGATCTAACAGGTGGGGCCTTCCTCTACATCTGAAGAATGAGGTGAGTTTCTCTCAGGTCCTGGTTGCTTTTCTCTCTTGCTGAAAGAAAAGACAGAGAAGTAAAATCAGCTCTACCCAATGCCTGGGTCAAGTGATCAGAAGGGAAAATGTAAGAGTGGACTAAATTAGGGTTTTACACTTTCAATCATTGATTTACTCAGCCAACAAGTCCAAAGCTAATGTGTACACAGCATCCAGTTATGCATACACAGAAACACACACACATGATAATCTTAGCTTTGTACCAAAACCACCCCAAAACTTGGTGGCTTAAAACAATGGCTTTATTTCTTCACAAGTCTATGGGGGCAGCAGTTTGGGTTGGGCTCAGCTCTGGAAGAAGAGCCTATCAGGAAGTAGAGGAGCACTGGATGGTGCTGAGGGTGATGCCCGTTCTGGAGCTCAAGAGCACGGTTGCAGTCATTGCTGAACCAGCTGGGTCAGATGGTCCAAGATGGCCTGGTTCCTATATTTGGTGGCCAGTGCCCACTAGGTTCCAGGCCTCTTCTCTTGATCATTCATTCTCAAGAAGGCTGGAGCAGCCTTCATCATGCACAGGGCAGAATTCTAATCTAAAAGAGGAAGAGTTGAACCTACCAGTCCTGCTGAGACCCGAACTGGGAGTCACATGAGGCCTCTTCTGCCATATTCCCATTGCCATGTCTAGTTGTGAAAGCAAGTCACAGGGCAGCCAAGATTCACAGAAAGGGAAATAGCCTCCACTTCTTGATAGATTCAGGGGAAAAAGTCATATTCAAAGGGTATATATGCAATGATGGGAAGGATTGTTCTTGAAGCCTCTCTCTCTAGATCTGTATCTATGTCTGCACTCATATGGCTATCTATAGATATGGACATAGACATAGGTGGGTAGAGAGTTCTATATTCTCGAGTATATAGATACTCATAAACACACACATGTTCTTGATCGTGTGAGGCTTATGGTCTGGTTGCACAGACTCAGCTTGATATTTGAAAAGTGGCTAGAAGAAGGTAACACATAACCAAGAAGCAAAGTGAGTGGAGCCCCTGGGTGCTGCATTTGGGGAAGGGAAAGCTCTCTGTGGGCAGAGGCAGGTGGGAGAGCTGCAGGTACTGGGCTTGCTTTCTGGCACACACAGGAGGGGGGAGGCAAGATGTGCTAGGGCTGACCAGACATTGGTGGGCACATTGGCCTGGAAGAGGGGAGGGAGATGTGTAAAGAGGGAAATAAATAAGAATTGAAATTAAACTAGGTCAAGCCAAGGGGGAAATTCCCATGATGGCTGAGGAATTCAGGCTTGGATAAGTGGGAGCCATTGAAGGATATTGAACAGAGGTGTGACTCTTTCTTCCATTCTTTCTTTCTTTTTTCTTTCTTTCTTTCTTTCTTTCTTTCTTTCTTTCTTTCTTTCTTTCTTTCTTTCTTTCCCTTTCTTTCTTTCTTTCTTTCTTTCTTTCTTTCTTTCTTTCTTTCTTTCTTTCTTTCTTTCTTTCTTTCTTTCTTTCTTTCTT